TTTTTTTATTATTGAGTTTTAGAAGGTTTTTATATATTCTGGATTCAAGTCCCTTATCTGATAGATGATTTGCAAAAATTACCTCTCACTATGTGGGTTGCATTTTCACTTTCTTGATGGTATCCTTTGCAGCACAAAAATTTTTAATTTTGATGAAGTCTAATTTATGCGTTTTTTTCCTTTTGTTGCTTGTTGGTCTTACATCTAAGAAACCACTGCCTAATTCAAGTTCATGACAACTTATGCCTGTTTCTTCTGAGAATTTTATAATTTTATCTCTTACACTTGAGTCTTTCATCCATTTTGAATTAATTTTTGTATATAATGTGAGGTAGGAGTCCAACTTCATTCTTTTGGAGGTGGATATCCTGTTGTCCCAAAATTCTGTGCATTTTTAACATGAGCATAGATTTGTGTAGATGGTGTAACCACCATCAAAATAGGTATAAAACTTTTCTATAACCACAAAGATCCTGCTACTCCTGTATAGTCATGATCATCTCCTCTCTTTCCGTGTCCCTAAACCTTAATAACCATTAATCTGTTCTCCATCTTTATAATTTTATCATTAAGAATGTTATATAAATGGAATCAGATAGTACATAACCTTTTGAGATTAGCTTTGTCATTTAACATAATTCCCTTAAGATCCATTCAATTTATTATATGTATTAGTAGGTGTTTGTGTGTGTGTGTGTGTGTGTATGTATGTGTGGACTCTTTAAGAATTTCTACATAAACAATCATGTTATTTGTGAATAGACACAGTTTTATTTCTTCCTTTCCAATATTTATTCCTTTATTTCATTCTCTTGGCTTATTGAGCTGGGTAGAACTTCCAGTACTATGTTGAATAGCAGTGGTAAGAGCAAACATCCTTGCCTTGTTTCTGATCTAAGGGAGAAAGCATTCAATCTTTCAACCTTAAGTTTGATGTTAGCTCTAGTTTTTTGGTGGATGTTCTTTACTAGGTATATGAAGTTACCTTGTATTCCTAGTTTGCTGAGAGCTTTTATCACGAATGGATGTTGAATTTAGTCACATGCTTCTTCTACATTATTTGATGTGATCATGTAGTTTTTATTTTGATAGGTGGATTGCATTGATTTTCAAATATTAAACCAGCCATGTATCCCTGGAATAAACCTCAGTTACTTGTGATATATAATTATTTTTATACATTGCTGGATTCTATTTGTTAATATTTTGTTTAGGGCCGAGCGAGGTGGCTCACGCCTGTAATGCTAGCACTGTGGGAGGCCAAGGTAGGTGGATTGTGTGAGCTCAGGAGTTCGAGACCAGCCTGAGCAAGAGCGAGACCCCGTCTCTACTAAAAATAGAAAGAAAGAAATTAGCTTGACAACTGAAAATATATATAGAAAAAATTAGCCGGGCATGGTGGCGCATGCCTGTAGTCCTAGCTACTTGGGAGGCTGAGGCAGGAGGATTGCTTGAGCCCAGGAGTTTGAGGTTGTTGTGAGCTAGGCTGATGCCATGGCACTCTAGCCCAGACAACAGAGTGAGACTCTGTCTTAAAAAAAAAACACATTTGGCCCAGGAACTGGTACTGAATGTGTGGTGCAGTGGTGGTTCAAGAAGTTTTGCAAAGGAGAGGAGAGCCTTGAAGATGAGGAATAGTGGCCAGCCATCGGAAATTGACAACGACCAATTGAGAGCAATCATCAAAGCTGATCCTCTTACAACTACATGAGAAGTTGCCAAAGAACTCAACATCAACCATTCTATGGTCATTTGGCATTTGAAACAAATTGAAAAGGTGATAAAGCTCGATAAGTGGGTACCTCATGACTGAAAATCAAAAAAATCATCATTTTGATGTGTCGTCTTCTGTGCAACAACAACAAGCCATTTCTCGATGGGATTGTGACGTGCGATGAAAAGTGGATTTTCTATGACAACTGGCGATGACCAGCTCAGTGATTGGACCAAGAAAAAGCTCCAAAGCACTTCCCAAAGCCAAACTTGCACCATTAGAAGGCCATGGTCACTGTTTGGTGGTCTGCCGTGAGTCTGATCCGCTACAGCTTTCGGAATCCCAGCAAAACCATTACATCTGAGAAGTATGCTCAGCAAATCGATGAGATGTACCATAAACTGCAACACCTGCAGCCGGCATTGGTCAACAGAAGGGGCCCAGTTCTTCTCCACGACAACACCCCACCACACATCACACAACCAACGCTTCAAAAGTTGAATGAATTGGGCTACAAAGTTTTACCTCATCCACCATATTCACTTGACCTCCCACCAACTGACTACCACTTCTTCAAGCATCTCGACAACTTTTCACAGGGAAAATGCTTCCACAACCAGCAGAATGCAGAAAATGCTTTCTAAGAGTTCGTCAAATCCCGAAGCACGGATTTTTACACTACAGGAATAAACAAACTTATTTCTTGTTGGCAAAAATGTGTTGATTGTAATGGTTCCTAT